TTTTGAACGCAGAGCTGGTAAAAAGAAGTTCTAGCATGTTGTTTGGTAAAGAAGGATATTCAGCCAGATCTAGAACTGCTAACGTCAACATAAACATTCTGGACTAGGACAAATGTTTTATTTGTGATTTCATTGGATTTTTACCATAAATACAAAACGGCCCTTAATAGTAATTGGTCCTAAGGTTCCTTAGTACCAGGAATAACTTTTATTTTCAGTCTCCCTGTATCTACTGAATAAAATCAACTGCGTTAATCTAAATGAAAACCCATAAACACAGAGGTTATTGGGCCAGTTGCAGTTGGACTGAATTCTTTCCTTTAGAGCAGAGGTAAATAAATGAGCAGTTTCTCATCACTCTTTTCTGTTTGTTTCAGATCATCACTCGCTGTGACGTCTCCTTGCTTCAAGAAGTGAGAGACAGCAAAGAGGTAGCTTTGCCGCTGCTCATGTCCCAAATCAACAGGTAAACGCTGCAGCACACAGATGCAAACCCACACAACAGGTCCTAAGGTTAGGCCTGAACATTCACTTTAACTCCAGCACCTGCAGAATGATTCATTTTCTGCTCCAGAGTTGTGTAATGTAAATGACGAGCTTTGTCCTCGACAGCAGTTCGACTTCACCTCTCCGCTGTTCTTTGTCTCCTCAGATTTGACACCCGTCATCAGTACCAGGCTTTAGTCAGTGAGAGACTGGGCAGATCTGAAACATACAAGGAGCAGTATGTCTTCGTTTACAGGTGAGTTGAACCATTACGGCACATACTGTAGTAGTAGGTTTTACAGCTTTATTCACCAACACATACGTAAGAACTCATGACTTGGACTTAACCACTCATGTACGTCAAAACTAGGGATGTTCGATGTTAAGTTTTTATTTATATCCGATATGTCGGTATTGTCCAAATACCGATATCAACCGATACCAATATATGCAGCTGTTTGCCAACAGAGGATCTGGATTGAACGGTTCTTACAGATATTACATAATTATGCTAATATCAGGCCTATATCAGCGGACCTCACTAGTCAAAACATTTAATAAAAATCTCACAGGTCCAGGACCTTAACTATAAAAAACAACAGAAGGGAAACAAATGCAACCTCACCATGGAGAAAAGGGGAATTTATGTTGTTGTTTTTGGGCTAAAAAAGGACAACAGTGACTAATATTATATCAGAGACTGATATGGACTGAAATTGCAGTTTTGTCCTTTTATTATGTATACACTGGGATGGGTACAGGTAGAAAGACTAAAACCGTTGATGGTTGAAATTGGTACCGACACTTTTGAGGGACCATTGCAGACTTGATGAATGAATTAAGTCTTAGTTTAGGTCCACCTCTGAATGTTCAGGTCATGTACTGAGTTGTGTTTAATGATCGTTTGCAGAACGGACACAGTGACAGTCACTGGGAAGTACCAGTATCCAGACACCCGACCAGGAAACGTTGACGTCTTCTCCAGAGAACCTTTTGTTGTCCGCTTCAAAGCCTTAACAACAAGTTCGTTTTTCTACCACTGAAATGAAAGTCATGTGGTTTTAACGGCAGTAACAGCTGGAACATTTCTCTAATCGTGCAGCTGTAAAGGAGTTTGTCCTGATACCCCAGCACACAACTCCAGCCAACACCACTAAAGAGCTGGATGCGCTGTACGACGTATTGCAACATGTGAAGAAGATGTGGAAAACTGAGGTGAAAGCTGCATATCAATGGTTGACAAAACAAACTAGGTTATTTGTAAAACAGGAATCGTTTAAAAAAAGTGGACGGTTGTTTTGTCTGTGAACAGAATGTGATGCTTCTGGGGGACTTCAACGCTGACTGTGGCTACCTGGCTAAGAAGAACAGGAAGAATGTTCGCCTGATCACAGACCAGAGGCTCTATTGGCTCATCGAAGATAAAACAGACACCACAGTGCGATCATCCACCTCCTGCACTTACGACAGGTGACAGCACAGTCACTGCTTCTTCATCAAACGTTTACTGTAGTCTCTGAACTCTCTGTGTTCAAACAGGATCGTTGTGAACGGGGAAGCATTTGCTAGAGAGATTGTGCCGATGTCGGCCAGACCATTTAATTTCCAAAGAGAGTATAGACTCACAGAGGATGAGGTAACAGGCTGACTGTCTGACTGTTTCTTTACTCGGATAAAAATCTGCAAAAACATCCAATGTTCTAATTACTGTTGATGTATTGATGAGGTGCCGTCTGTGCTTTCAGGCGCTGGACGTCAGCGACCATTACCCAGTGGAGGTTTTGCTGAAGGTTGTTAGATCAAAGTTCTTCAATAATGGTGCCAGAGGTTCCACACAGGAATCTCAGTTGCAACTTTTTTCTTTGTTTGTTTGCATGTGTTTTGTTTTGCAGGTTTTCAGATAGCATTTCACATTATATATGCACTATCTCTACAATATACTGAGAACAGATGACCTCATGGACTCATGGAAACAGGATTCACCACTGCACACGTGCCAAACACCAATCACTGTGAAATCACTGTCGACAGAAAAGGCACATTAAATATTAAGCTTTAAGTGAACAAAAGTGCAGGATTGAGAAGCAGCTTTCATTTAAAAGAAAAGTCGGTAACATTTAAAGCTTTTTATATTATGAATGCACTGTTTTGTAAAGCTTTTGTTTTAATCTTGTATTGTCTTTGATGAAAATAATTATATATTTTTTTATTCTTCCCACACTCTTCTTTCATTATTGAAAAAACATTCAGGGTTTTACATGTAATGTAAGACGTGTAAATTGGGGTTGTTGTCCCAAAAAAGTAGATTATAATATTTTATTAATAAACGCTTCATGTGAAGTTGTGATGCCCACTACTCAGCTTGTTGCAGTTCAGAGGACTAAGAGTTTACTACAAAGATGGCTGCCTTTGTAGTCAAGAGCACCAAAAGCTGTGGTTGATACAGTGCCAAAAACGTAATCTCTTGTCTGTTTGTGCTAACAAATCTACACGTGTGAGGTCTACCAATGTATGTGGTCTCCACAGAATTCAATTTGTATTTCTTTACATATAAAACAATATATATTTTAATTGAACTTTTAGAAAGGTGGGCGGTGTGGCTAGTCAATGCACTCTGCAATCCAGTAGATGGCGACCATGTGCCATACGCTGATTGACAACCACGTTGACGCATTAAAAAGGGAAGAAGAGCAACTTCCGTCTCCGCCAAGAAAATATGCACGTCTTATTTTCCCCCTACACTGAGATTATGAAATAGGAAACAGTTTACTAAAGAGAAGTCGAGGTACTGCTGTTACCGACTAGCAGCCGTTTTTTTTAGTTCAATATATTTTACGTCGCTTCCTGCGTCAAAATGAAGAAACGAAGCTCAGAAAAACGACGCCATGTGGTGTCGTGGCTGAACAAAGCTGAGTGGACCCAGGTTCAGGAGTATCTTTACTCCAAAGACCCTGCCCTACAAAAGTTTGCCCTGCAGAGAATCAGCGCCTGGAAGTGCCGTTACGCCGGCAGCAGTCCCGTGGCTGTTGACTGCACCGCGGACCTCGTGCGGTGTCAAGTCCTAGACCGGTTCGGGCAGCTAAACTCGGACGACCTGGTCCTGCTTTACGGAGCAGCGCTGGTTCGGTTCGTAAACCTGATCACTGAGCGTCAGCAAGGGAAGGTCGCTCGGCCTCTGAGACGGCTGGCCGGAAACCTCAACATCCCAGAGTGGGTCGTCGACTTAAGGCATGAAGTGACCCACCGTAAGCTCCCCACTCTGAAGTGGTGCAGAAAGGGGTGCAATGTGGTTCTGGAGTGGCTCCAGCACGAATACTGGTCTAGGCAAATGGGAGGAGTTGGAGGACCTGAAGGTGAGGACTGGGAGTCACAGTTAGACGGAGAAGATGAGGAGATGGACTTAAGGCGCCAGGAGGATGAACTCATAGCTCTACAGAAAGAGAGGGAGGGCTTTAAAAAGGCTAGGGAACTTCTCATCTCCTTTGAGAAGGTGCAGTTCCAGGTTCCAAATGAAGTCCCGCAGGACAGAGATGGGAGTCCTTTGCCTTTTGCAGACATGAGCTGGTTACTGGGTGAAATTAAGCAGTTTGCCTTAGAGTCAAGCGATTTGCTGATTGATGCAATGTTGGAAGATGGATTTCTGGTTCCGACTGTGGAACAGCTGGAAGCACTGGGCTGCGATTTTTTTTTTCAGCCAACTGAACCCAGACTTCCTCAAACCTTCCTACGTTTTTGGCTGCCTCTTCTGAAGATGCTCAACTCTCCTGCCTTCATCCATCTTCTCCTTGAGAAGGTTTTTGCTGAGCTGAAGCTGCTCTTTAACGAGCAAAGCAACCACAGGGTTTTCTACCTGTCTGCCTGGATCTCCGAAATTATTCTTTGCAACAGCAAAAAGGTTGAATACCGCTTTGAAACCAAAAACCAGAAGAAGTCCCGACTAAAGGACAGGATCTTTGTGAACCGCCTTCAGCTGAGGTGGCAGCAGCTGCTGTCAGCCTGCCTGGATGCTCCTTGTGTAAGCACCCCACATTTGCTCCAGTTGATCATGGATGACATGGAACATCCTCTGCCAGTAGAAACCAGAGGGAAGCTGCTCCAGCTTTGCTCCATCTACACACAGACCTCACACAGTAACTCTGATCCTTCTCCCGAGCGACACAAACAGCCCACGTACACATTGGAGAGTCTGAAGCGTTCACGGCAAAATGGACATTCACTGCGTCCCAGGGACAACTCCGAACAGAATGAATCCTCGCAGGAGTTCATGTCTGTTGACGCCTTGGCTGAAACAGCAAAGGTGCTCAGAGGTTCTCCGTGGCAAGTGTGCACGGACAGGGTTTTATGGAAAAACCATCCTTTGGGTAAAGTCCCTGGACAGTCAGACGACCCTTCGTGTCTCATGGTGGAAAACTACTCAACAATGACAGTGTTTGATCAGCCAGTGGAGATGGAGAGGAACATGGGACACAGTGCTGCTGGGGTGTCGGCACCAGTGAGGACAGGTGATGGCCTCCTCTGGAGCCACAGTGATCTAAACAAGCTGAAGACAGGACTGCAGCTCTTTTAAACTGCAGGCTTTGTAAAGCTGCCAAATACAGACATTCCTCTGCTCACTTATCAGTAACACTGTCACCTTTGTTTTGATACTTGTAAGAAAGCATTAGGAAATATGTTAGAACCAGATTGTGGCGACATTTGTTTAAATTATTTTCTTTTTTTTTTCTTTCCCCAAAGTCGTTTTGGATCTAAGATGAGTGAAATGTTTCATTTGAAATCAGTAAATCATGTGATTATTTTATCAAAAATGCATTTGATTTTTCTAAAATAAAAATAATGTGCTTTCAAGTGTTTCAGTTCTGTCCACATAATAATGCACTTACCTTAATATGAAAGAGGACAAGGATATGTTGACATGACACAAGATTCTGTTTGTCCAACTTGTTTCAACCTAATAAAAACAGACATCAAATATGCAGCCATGACTAATTTAATTCACTTATTGGTCAACTTATTGGTCTTCAATGATTGCTCCTGCAATTGCATTCAAATTTAATCTGTTTGATAAAACTTCCATACCCAGCTTCTGCCACTGGTTATGCTTGGGAAAGCAACAAATAATTATTTATTAGTAACTGACATGAGCAAAAGTATAAGCAGGCAAAGAAAAGTGAAGTTGCAGCAAGGGTTGACATAAGGTTCCAGGGCAATGCAACAAATCCAGATTTGAGAAGAAAAGAAATCCAGAATAACTTGAATGTATGGAGCCCATAAAGTTAACAAGCTAAACCTTCGTTACCAGATGGTAAATTACTGACTGTGATGTGAACTCGTGCAATATCAAACAATATCCACGAGGCGGCACTAGTGCTAAATTGAGTGCAAATACGTAGAAGAAGAAGAAGCAGCATTTTTCAGGCCGGACGTCGGACTTTAGATCGGAAAGCGCGACAATAGTTTGTCCCTGTTGTCAGACACCAGACAAACAAAAAATATATTTTAAAAACAGCAGTTGATTTTTGCATTAAATGCTTTTGGTTTGTGAATAATTTTTCCTCCCGGAAACTCACGGTAAGTTGCTGAACTCGAAAATGCTGCGTAACGGACGTGAGCGCCTCGTGCGCAGATTTAGTTAGCTATATATGATTTTGTTTTACGACCGCTTAAGGGAAATCGAACACCTTCTGTAGATAGTTACTTGATTTATTTTATTTTTTAAGGAGAACCACGTCCGTAAACTGGATTAGGTTTGTACGAAATACGTAGTAGACACTGATCGGTAAGATTTTGCGTCGTGCGGCCTTGTTAGCATGCTAATGGTAAAGGCTTCTGCTTCGGTCAAGAAATATAATAAATAAAAACACTTGCTATCATTTAAATGGCGAAAACATTCATTTTTATTTTCAATAAAAACAATGGTTGTTTTTAGTGATTATGGAGTGTTAATTAGAAAGTACAAACTTCGCTACATAACGTGTGGCGTCGATGCTAATAAATTGGGCCATGTTAAGAAACCAGCAACATACGTTGAGCCTACGTTTGACCAATACACGTTCGTTTTTTTTCAAAAATTATTTGTTAACCCATGGTCAGGGCTTGTTCTGTACTCAGACAACCACATATTTGTTTCGATAAACAGACGACACATTGTTTTGTGCTTATTTTTAGTCCAAATCTATGTTAAAAGTATATCGAAAGTATAAAAAACGGAAAAGGGCATTAACTGGTTAAAAACATTAAAACATCAAAGTATCAGCAAGGAGGGACCAACGGTCTGAGGGTTCTTTCATGTTTGTCAAGGTTATTGTAATTGTTTTATAGTGTGTGCCTGAAGTACATACTCTTTACACTAGATAAAAATGACATTAACATTTGTTATTTAAGTATAAAAATATTTTACTATAACTGTATTTTTATTTTATTTTTTCATTTTCTTAGATCTCACAAGGGAGAAATTGCAGGACACTGTTCAGACAGCAACCTTGCAGGTTTTTTTTTTTTTTTTTTTTTAGTCCACAATGATCACCAGAAGAAGAGGACGCACCATCAGCAACACACCATCCATGGAGGCTGAAGTCATGGATGCAGTGGAAACTGTAATAGACCTCCCAAGTCCTTCTGATGGTTTCCCACCTGAAGACAGTGATGATATCATGCTACGTGACCTGTTCAAGACAGAGGGGATGTCATGGGCACTGGAAAGAGATCCTGCATCTATTCTTTTCGACATGGAATTGTCTGATCTTGGCCTCTTTTGTCACAACGATCAAGATTCGGGGTTTGATGCCTCCTCATCTCCAGATAGAATAGGACCAACTGACTTGAAGAACAAGAATAGACGTAACCAGTCAAGCTGCGTGATCAACAAGAATGCTATCGCTGCCAGATTGAATCGTATCAAGAAGAAAGAATATGTAACTAGCCTAGAGGAAAAAGTCAGTGTCCTTTCAACAGAAAACACCACCCTGAAGCAGGAGAATTCCCAGCTAACCAAGAGAGTGGAAGAACTAGAAGATGAAACCAGGTACTTGAGAGCTGTGCTGGCCAATGAGAGCATGTTAGCCCAGCTCTTATCCAGGTTGAGTGGTGTGAATGGGATGAAATTATCCTCCTCGCTTTTCCAGGGACCCGACGGCAACGACCACGACGGCAACGACCACGACTACGCCTTACCCAGAAAGCGCATAAAAGTGGAGGAAAAAGAGACATCTGGTGGCATATGTCTGCACGTGGACAAAAACCAAGTCTCAGTGGAGTTCTGCACCAAGTGTGCACAAAGCGCAAATGCGTCACTCAAAATGTAGGGTCAAGTACCTATCTTTGTTTTCAGATAATGAGACTGAACTCAATGTACTGAAAAGTTAGATGGTAAATGAACACTGACTTATGCTAAGATTACCTAAGAACTGCTGAATGCATGTATTGTGTGATGATGGTTTAAGTACATGTTACTGCTAAACCTTGTCGACAGTTTCTTCTAGGTAATGGTTGATCTACCATGCTGGCTGAGTGGCTTTCTGAACACCTTTGTCTGCTTGACTCCATGGTAAGGATCAGTTAACAAGGCCTCTCTTTTTCTTTTACAGGCCTGAAGTATTCAGCAGTGGCCTTTACATTAGTTCTACACTGTTCTTGCTGCCAGCTAGTTGACCTTGAGTACTTTAAGAATACTTTGTATTGTGTTAAAGGTAATTACTTGAGCTGACTGTCACTAAGATGTCCTGAACAATAAGATGTTAAAATGAAGGTGAAGGTCCACAAAGAGTTATTGTTCAGGGGTTAAATAAGACCCCAAGATACATGCAAAGTAATAATCGAGGGATGAATTAAGTTTACCCAAATTCCTTAATTGTTGACAAAGCAATACAACCATTGAAATATTTTTTTAAGAATTGTATAATTTTCAATACAATTAATTATATTGGATATTGAATTGGTCCATACATGGTTGTCTCTAAAATCAAATACAAAGGAGCAAATTGGAATTAAAGTTGACCTGCACTTACAGCAAAAAAAAGCTTAATTGGGCATTTGAATTTACCCTCTCTGGACTAAAACTATTACTACTTCAGTGTAACACGGTTTTGACCCTCCATTTTTTTACGTTTTGGTAAAAAGCTTAATTGGGCATTTGAATTTAAACAATTAAAAGGGTTGGATAACAGTAATGAGTTTGTAATATCCTGTTATAGTCAGAATTGATCTCTTTGTGAACTTTCACCACTGTACAAAAGATCCTTTTCATTTAGCGCCACCTATTTTTCTTTATGCTAAAGTGGATTCTGCTGGTGGGCCGTCAAGAGACCGGACAAGCTGCTGCCAACGTGGCCTGGTATTATTTTTAAAGGTAGTATCGGTAACAAAGTGGTATAAGTGATCGCATTTCACCCATACCTCCACACCAGTAGCAGTAGCCTTTTGTCAGGGAAGCTGCTGCAGCTCTCCTGGTCAGCTGACTGCAGCCCTTCCCTCTACTTCACTACACTAAGAAGTTGGTCCACAAATTATGTCTTGTATATATTTACTTGTATTCAACACATTCTTTAAACTAGGAAGTTGACCGTTTGGTCATGTTGACAAATGTAACTGTACATATTTTGGACAGATTGTGAGAAGTAATTTACTTCTGAGAAATGTACAAATAAATCATATTTTCATTAAGTATGAGGTACACATATCTATTTTGTCTCATTGTCTATTCTGGTGATATTAATGCTTCTCTTTTTCTCTTTCTGAACAGCAGCTCTCTGCCGATAAAGGTCTTAACTTTCCTGAACTTTTGGGTCAAGTCTGGTAAAGGTTTAAAAAAAAAAAAAAAAAGGCAAAGATCCTTCTTGAAAGATGTCAAAATACAGTGTGTGACAGGTGTGATCTTTTTTCCAGTCAGATGTAACCTGTACTGTCGCGGTAAAAACTTCCCACATAGTCTTAATCTGAGTGTTAGCACGAACTGCCAGGCAGCTGCAAAGCCTACCACTAGGGGCAGATTTGAGTAACAGCCTTATTTCTTCTTGGCATGCTAGATTATGATTACAAGTGTCTTGGTGACATGAACTGTTACAAAGTTTTCAATGTAAGATAAGCATCTTCATTGTGTCAGGTTTGTTATGTCATTCATTACCCTACGGTTTCTGTCCTTTTACCCAGTAATGCCCCAGTGTTTCTGCTCCAGGCTCATGTCCATCACCTAATTTGGCACGAAGAGGGGATGACCTCCAAATCACTGCCCAGGTGTGAGACAGATGCTGTTTCTGGCACTTGTTTAAACTTGAATATAATTCAAGGGAAGGTCAGGTTGAATTCAGATGACACTCCTTAATCTTAAACAACAGTGCTATATCTTAAAAATTGTAAGTTCCTCCTACAACAATAGCTCTTCAGTGTATAATGTGCTAAAAATAACCCAATTTTGGGCTCTCTGAACTGAGGTAATCAAACCTGACAAAATTAAGATGATTCTGGCAAGAAAACAGTGTTTGAAAAGGAGACACACCATCACTAATTATTAACTTAAGTTCTTCAATGATCAGCTTGTTTTAAGGTTATTTTTTGTGATATAGCAGTGTCTTCATGTAGTACTTTGTGTACTATAAAATGAGTAAAATTCAGTTTTACTTTGCACCCAGGTCCTAAATGACCTGGAGGTTGACCCCTGTTGCAATTACAGATGACAAGTATTTATCTAAGTGCTGACATGAAAAGTTACTTAGCTAAGGGACATGCAGCAGTGTCCCTGGTTTCTGGTCTTAACAGATGCTTAACAAGACATTTCTGTTGTTTACAGCCTGTGTAAGGGGTGGTCATGCTAGGTTAGCAGATGATGTCGATAGTTCATGATATTAAAGGCTGCTCCATAGGCAAATCCACCTTAAATGTCCCTTAAGCACTTTACTGTCACTTTACTGTCTACACCTGTATTGTATATTAGCAGATACATATATGTAGGTTGCGTGTTGCCAGTTACCTATTATTGATCACATCAGAATATACTATTACTGTTTTACTGGTCATTAAAATACGTCACCATGTGTTCAGTGTAATAGTTACATGTGTGACATTTGCAGCAAAAAAGAAAAAAAAAAAAGCGTGGGAATAAGTTGTGTATTCAGCAAGGCATGAATTATTGGCCACTGCCAAACAGATTACACCGAGTGGAGTGGGGACCGGTCCAAGATGGCAGCCCACTGCTTGGTAACGCCGATAGGCAGGAGCGGTTGATTCGGCGTCTGGCACAGCTGTTGGCTCAGACACAACTGTCTTGTTGTACCATCAAAAGCCACTAGAGGGTGCAATCGAGACTACCGCAGAGCAGGGTATAATGAGCGGAGTTTTTTTGGGTTTGATTTGACTGCACATACAGAACACTTCTATAAAATGGCCGTTAGAGGGCACCATAGGTATATTCAAAGTGAAATGTCCTACATCCCAAACATAACTAATTCATAAAGGGAACAATGATCTCATATCTAAACTCTAAAGGCTTGTTAATGCGGAACAAATGTTCCTCCGAGGGGAATGTGAGGAATTCCTTCTTCTTGATTCTCTTCAGTCTAAGAGCTTGTTATGTTAAAGCCCCCACAGGGATGTGTCGGGTTAATTTTGTGAACACACAGCACATCATCGGAACTGTTTCCTAGCGTTTACACTGTTATGTAAGTTGGCTGTTGCACAAGGTTAAAGTGCTGGAAAATAAATCACCCTCCTAACCTGTTCATATTAGGAAAAGGCAGAATGCTGCTCCTCCTCATGTGAGTCTAACTCAAAGAGGAAGTCTCAGGAAGGCCTCTGAACTCGGGGGTCCCTGGGCAGCTTCATGTAAAGGTCAACTATCAGTGCTGAATGGCCTCTCTATGTTGTCTGCTCCTCCTGTTATGTCTGAATCTCCACCAGACTTTTCCTGTGTCTGAGCTGAAGCTCACAGAGGGCAGGGATGATGGTGGAAAAAGATCCAACGACCAAAAATGGTCCTGCAGTTTGTGGCTGTTTCTGCTGGTGGCCTGTGACACAGAGTAGGTCCTATCATTACATCAGACATAATGTTGGGTTCACTGTTTTAGATCTGGTTGAAAAACCAAAACAAGTCACAAAATGATGGAAATCCTAGTTTTTGGTTATGGACATAAAACCCATAAAAAAACGACATTTCAGTAAGTTTGAAGCTAAGTCTACTGTAAGCCTTCAGCTCAGCTGAAAGGTCCATTCAGTAACCTTAAACAAAAACAGTCAGAGTGGATCTTCTTACTAAGAATATGTGTGTGTGTTACTTTATGCTGATCTGTCCTTGTTCAAGTCTCCTCATAACTAGTTTATGTGGCCTGGTACCAAATGAAAATAATTTGAGAGATTATGTATGACATTCATAGTAAACTGCATTTATATATGCAGATTGACCTAGTGTGTAAAATAGATTAGCTATTTATATTTATTTTTTCTCTCACAATAAGTCTTGTGACCAGAACTGCGCGCTGGACATTGAATTTCTGTTTGGAGGCCGCTGTAATGTGTAGCCATGATTGTAACAAACTCCCATTCGACCTTTTGTGTTTTGAAATAAATTAATATCACAGAAGCGAATGATGACATTTTAAAAAAATGTGACTGTTAAAGCCAACTTCAAATTGCCTGGGCTTCTGATCACACCCTGTTAAACACCAGGGCCCTGCCTGAACACATTTGTACACACTTCCGTTTTGATGGTGACATGCAGAGTTGTAACACCACCACACCCTTCAGCCACACTGGTCAGTGGGTGCTGAGCGTTTCTGTGGAAAAGAAACACGTGTACATTTATTACAGCGCTGTATGCAGACAGGGATGGTTGTGGTCATAGGTTTAATGAAGTGAAATCACACATTACTGATGTGTTAACACAGTTTTAGCCACTGTTAAACATTAATTTTTAACTGGTCTAGAGCATCTAATACACCCAATAGCCTCTAACCTGCAGTTTATATATGTTTTTGTTAATTTTGAGATAATATTGATTGAACCTTTTCAATATATTTCCAGTCCGTTTTATTGGCATCACTATCCACTGTGCAGCGCACAGAATAAAACATAGATTGACCATCAAATGATCTCTGTGTAAAATTGTGCAACGTACAGAGAAGATGTTTTGCCTCTGTTTATGTTTCTCTGTATAAACAGTTCACTGAGTTACCAAACAACACACCTCTGATAGAACCAGAGCACAGTGGTGGGGTGCAGACGAGTGTGTGTGTTTGGATCTTACTTTTCTATGAATATTAAAAACCAGAAAAGAAAGGATAAGGAGAGCTGCTGCATGTCAAAAGACGAACAAGAGATGATTGCTGTTAATGCCCGTGTCAAACATCAGGAAGTGAAAACAAACCGTTGCCATCACAACCAAACCATAGAGGACATAAACAGTTGAAGCATTTATTCCACATTATTATTAGTTCGGATTTTCTTCATGTTGCATGTGGAAGCCAGAGCCAGTGTTGTAGTCAAGTCCGAGTCAAGCTTAAATCTATGTACATAACCCAACACTTCTATCAGCCACACTATTAACATAGGCCTGTATGACATGAGTCAGAGGGATGGATGTGGCCCATCTTTAAAGACCAAATATCTTTGAAAAGTGAATCTGTAGCACTTAGTAGGTCTTGGTCTGATATAGAACATTGACAACCGATAATATTGGCCAACCGATATTATTACCCCGACATTATCGGCTTATATTATCATGTTATGTAATATCTGTAAGAATCATTAATGTTTTTTTTTTCCTTCGATAATGAAAACCCGAAAATGCAATGTCAGGGTTTTGTCAAATGATGGGTGACCTAAAAACAGATTTGGGGATAAACGACTGTATATTAAAGTGAAAGTCTCTAGATGGCAGCATTGCAGCTCGTTTAATGATATACGATACATACTCATACAGTGGTTTGTACAGATAAATAAATAAATATTACCAGGCCTATATCAGTATCAGTGGATTTCGGAATCGGAAATTAAGTGTTTGGACAATATAGGCATATCGGATATTGGCAAAAAGTTAATATCGGACATCCCTAATCTTTAGCGATAAGTGGTAGAACCGTCAGAAGTTACATTTTATTTTAGACCTGTTGTAGTTTAAACAACTTTTACAACAGTTTTTTAGTCTTTTCTGCTTTGAGTGGACACACCAGACACACGTTTTATTCACTTCATGGTCTTTCCTTTTTGAGGTTTTTCTTTGCAGTGTAAGCAGTTGTTAGATGTGTCATGAACTGACTTGTACAACTGGTCATTTATACAAAACTCTTGGCCTGTGTTGACCTCAGCTCCACCACCTCTCAGAGTCAAGTTACTGGAACTACAGAAACATTAAGAAGAATCACTGTACATCTACAGACACACACTAAATCAATGTGTCACCACAACAAAGACAGACAAAGGCATACAAATAAAAAAAAAATCTATATAGTTGTAAGAAAAAAAAAAACTAATTCAAATAACTAGTGATCAGGAGCTGTCTTTGAGTCATTTCTTGGTGGTGTGATACCTGTGTCTTTCTGTCTTCATGTCAGCGTCTCTTTTGGTCTCTGCAGGTCGTGTCTCTGCAGGTCTGTACGTCAAGCCTAACTGCTTCAATAATGAGATCATATGATGTCATGCAGTGCACGTGGGAGCAGCACACTGTTCAGTCTGCCAGGATCCTGCTGTCTACCTGAGCGTGTGTGTGTGTGTGTGTGTACAATTTCTATCCCTCTTACCTCTGCAGGACCTTTACTCACTGACCCGGTCGGTACCAGCATAGACCAAAGTCTGGTACTAATGAGGCAGAACATTTGTACTGAGGCACTGTTTCAGGTTTGTGAGGCATTGACAGGATTTTGTTGTATTTAGAGATGAGAGTTTGTGGGTTTACTGCCTGGTCCTCTGAACAAGAATAGCTGAGCAAACCTACGTGTGTGTGTGTATTTCTTGCCAAGGGCTTTACAGGAAACCATCCAAACTCCATTACTAATATAATAAAAATGTTTTATAATAACAATTGATTTCTATTAGGATCAGTTTCACCACTTCCTGGTTTATGTGTCTCTCTGTTTATTATTATTTTTTTATCCCTACCATACTGAGCTAAATTGATTTTTGTCCATTAGCTGAATGTCCTTCCTTTAAAGATTGTTGCGAATCACTTTAATGTGAGGTGAAATCAATGTCTTAGTCTATGGACCCAAGGACGTGGAGACAGTGGTGTACAGTAATGGCCGAGTAAAAAGAGTAAACACATTAAAGGGAATTAAAGAGTCTTTGATGGTCAGAGCTTTAAGAGCCGATGTTAAATTTAGCAATCTGAAGTAAAGAAAAGAAAAGAACATCACTAAAGAAAAGTTCACTTTCAGCTGTGGCGCCTGGTTTCTAAAACCAGAAAGAGAAGGATTAGAAAAGTTGTTTATTTATTTATTTATTTTGGTGTTACTTTGGGTATTTCTGGGTTGACTTTAGAATGCTAGTTTTATGTTATGTTGATGTAGATCAATATTTCTGGCTTTTCCTTTGCCCAACTTTGACTTTGACTCTGTTTTTTCTCCACCTTTTCTTGGCCGTGAAAAGTTTGCCTCATTTGTTTTGGCTCATTTGTGGCTGTAGTTGTTGCTCATTGTAAAAGCAGAAAGCATATCATGCCTTTTCCCTTTCACCTACAAGTCCTTTATGTTACATTATGGTATAACTTTATGCTAACAATGTCTATGTATGTTGCAAATCCCGAACTTAACATAACTTTTATTTCCCAGACCATGTCTGTCTCTCTATATAAATAATTTATAATTATACATTATAATTATAATACATACTCTAACTCATAACACCTCATAACAGTCTGGATTCTGTGGCATATAAAAGGCAAACCTTAGCAACAACAACCAGATTCTGGTGACCGAGTGTTGCCTTAAAAAGAGAATCATAACAAAAAAAAGATCATAATTTGTAGAGGAAGGAAAGGGATAATGTGTTGAACCAAGGAAAGGTCACAAGGTTCGAAGAGAAATCAGAAATAACATTTTCCCTCCCTCCTACGCATGTTGCAGAAACACACACACACACACACACACACGGCTACACAAATGGAATGCATCATTTTCAAATACTCTCAGCCGCAGCTCCTCTGGGTGACATCATTATTTGTTTCCTCTCACATCTGTTTTGGGTGAATCCAGTCCAGATGCAGGTGAAGACGACGGCCACCTTATATTTCATCATGTCTTCAGGCAGTTTGTCTGAACACGTGACTGACGCACACACATTCACCACACACACGTGCGCATGCACAGACCGATCTACACAGGTGTGATGTGCTCATCAGTGTTTGAGTGTGTGGTAGCTGGGTCGTTTCTCCTCTGGTGATGTAACACTCCTAACCCACAGTGTAACCTGGAAGAACACACACACACACACACATCATATCACTTAGCCCAGGCGTTGGCCAACCTTTTGACTGGCGGGCCACAATTGTCCTAAAATTGAACAGGGGGCCGGGTCAGGAGCAGATAGATGGAGAGTTCGTGTGAACTAAGATAAATGACCTGTTAAAGTCATGCATTAAGGCTAACATGCTTTTATCATTTCCTACGCCATCTATTGGGCAAACGTGGGTATTGCAGGGAAAAGGCAGCAGTATAATGATAATATATATAAATTATATAAGTTGAAAAAGTTTGGTGGGCCGGATTAAAAAGTAGAATGGGCCGCATCCGGCCCGCGGGCCTTAGTTTGTCCATGCCTGATGTAGCTGCTGGGGTTATGGTGACATCAGAAGATTACACAGCATGACACTAACAGTCACAGCTGGGGTGTTGACTTAGGCTTAGCTCAGCTTGACTCAGAGTCAAACCCAAACCTTGAGAATAACTAACGTGAGCTTTTTGGAAGTGATTTGGTCTCAGATTTAATTTAAGTGACTTTTCTTAAGCAGCAGTGACTGGAAGTCTTGGCCTTTGTCAACATGTTTGGACCACAGCCTGAAAACCTTGGCTTGGTTTATTTGGCTTAGACTGACTTGAACTTATATATAGATTATATTGATTTAAACTTTTCTTTTTCTGACCTTAACTTGCACTGAGTCTCAGACTAGAACACAAAGAACTGAACTCAAACACTTGTATGTTTTATATATTTCACAAACGTTTGCATACTTTATGTACATTCTTTGGTCACACATGAAAGCAACAACACAAATCTGGATGATTTAGTAAAAGAGAAGAAAGCGGAGGCACGGAGGAGGGAGGGAGAGAGAGAGAGGGGGGAGAGTGGGAGAGGGACATCAGTCATTCATGGCCTCTCTCCTTTTCTCCACATTCCTTGCCCCATATATGGAGAAAAGAACAGAAACAGAAATGTTTGAATGCACACACAAACGAAACCACCAGACTACAAAGAAATCTTCATGTTTAGATTCTGACAAGACACTGATATCCAGCCTCCATGTTTTTCTCCCTGTATCGCTGCCATCACACCGTCACATCAACACAACCTCTGTTTGTTTGCTCTGTTCTTTCCCCTTCATCTGGTATGTTGGCCTGTTATTGGCTGTTCTCAAGAAGAAACCCCAAGAGGGACAT